AAAGATTTATATATTTAAGCCAATAAAGAACACTTTACTAAAAAAAAAAAAAAAAAAAGAAAAAAAAAGGTCTCTTAAGCTTGAACTTTCCTTCTTAAATGTCATGATCAATTTAAATATTAAGGAACTCGAGGAGAAATGTGATATCATGTCATTGTTTTATTATAGGGACCTACTCATACTTGTCTGTAGGTAGTTATAAAACTTGTTTATTTAAATGGTTATCAACAGGTATTAAGGTATTCTCACTGACCTTGTCCCTTTTAGTGCTGTGTGGAGGTACTACTTGAAGAATGAGTCTCTAGAAACAAAGCTTATATTTAAAAAAAAAAAAAATCTTGCCATAGATGGCTTGAGATGCTGAGTAAATATTAAATGAGGATAATTATTACAAACTTTCTGTATAGGTTTGAAAATCCAGTGTAAGAGAAAATCAAATAGTTCATCCTTGTAAGTATATAAGAGAAACAAGATTTATCTGCAACCAGGAAGAAAAAATAATTGGTAAAAGTCAATTTGTACTGGACATTACCATTTTCTTACCAGTCAACATGGAATAAGAGATATTTCAACAAATATATCTGTCAATAGAATTAAAAAAAAAAAAAAAAAAAGCTGATATTTGTCAGTACTACTTTTAGTATTTGTCAATACTTAGCATCAACTGAAAGTTTTGTTATTATAATATTTTTAAGTCACTGAAAATGTTTAATAAATCCAATTATTTTATTTTCAGGTTAAAAAAGTTGGTAATTCTCAGTTTTATGAAAAAAAAAAGCCAAGTTCTATTTACACTATTTATATTTGCACTGTTGTCTTTATCTTTGTTGTTGTTATCACAAATTGGTGATAACAACAACAAAGATGATGACATTAGTGTAAATAATGATAACTCCACATCCTAGAAATTCAGACAGTAAAGACAAGATCTATTTTGATTTCTGGCTAAAGACCAAGTAAATGAACAATACACTATATTCTTAAAAGAACCAATATAAAACAAAAAAAAACTCTTATTCGTCTTCAACTGCAGACAACTTTTAGTTATTTTCCCTATTGAGTCAAACCAAATTTTACATTTATATAAATGGTAATAACTTCTATAATCAATTAGAAGACAATCTGTATGCCTGGATGTATATTTCACTACCTTCCATAATGTTTTAGAGTGTACACACACAATATAAAAGTAGTGATAAAAAAGCTTACTATTTTCTTTTACCCAGAATTCAAAAATGTAATATCTTGACAGTGACTTCTATTTTACAGGGATCTACAATCAATGAAGGGTAATAAAACAACACATAGATCTCTAGAAAAAGTAAAGTGACTGTAGGATTCATATTTTTTATGCTTAAGAAAAAAAAAAAATTTCATTCAGTTCAATTACTGTTAGAACTTTACAAAAATATACTAGTTTTTTCTTCTATTTGAATTAAAAATTACTGGTAAATTGCAAAACTTCTTTGCAAGCAACTAGAGAAACAGAAGATAATCATGGACTTCTATAAGGTGAAGTTTGTTAGAGGACATGTAAATGAAAATATAAAAATATTCTGATTTAGAAGGCAAACTTAAGTCTATTTTATCCAATTATCTACAATTTTCTAAAACAAATTATCTCAAAACATCTAACAGCTGTATTTAAAACATTTTTATGAGCTTATTTATATTGTAAATTTCTTTTGCTAGATTTAAAAATAATAAAGTTTTTTCTTGAAGTGGATGCGGACATAAAATGGATAAAGGTAGATTAGTGTTTCTTAAACTTGTGAATGATTTGTATGAGCAAATGAAATTATTTTGGAGGGTGGTAGTGAATGAAACTAGAATGAAAGAATACAAATGACTAAATTTACTCAGGTATTTCTATTTTTCTATGCCATGCACATTGCACCCTCATTCCCTTCATATTACATTGGTAAGATAAGTTCCACTGGAGCAGCTTCCTACTTTGTAACCCTCTACCTCAAGTGGCTCTTGGATCTTGGAGAAAAAAATATTGTTTATTAATTTTAAACTGGGAAAATTCTAAATTTTCTATGTTATTTCTTAGTTTTCTTTACGTGATTTTATGTGTTTAAACATTAGATAAAATTACGAATAAAAATTATATGCAAAGGAAAATAAGATAAAAATTATTAGAAAATTTAGTTGTGAGTTAATGAAATTTTGTGATAATGCTTCAAAGAAACACTTGTTTAGAATTTAGAAAGAACATTCTGGGCAATAATTGTTCCTGATAGAATGTCTTTTTTGTTTGTAAAAATCAGTGATATCATGGTATAGATATTTTCTCTTGAAGTCAAGATAATTAATATTTTAAAACCAATTTCAGAATCATTCAACAGTGAATAAAATAAACACTTAAGAAGCAATTTACTTTTTTTTGTTTTTTTTTGCTTAGGATGCAAAATGAATTTTGTATTATTATTAAGAGAATAAGACAAAAATGATTAAAAAGAAAAACATAGAAATTTAACCAAAGTTAAAGGAAATTCTGTGATAAACACTTGAGGGTGAATGACATTGCAGCCTAAGAAACATCTGGGTAGATACTATAAGCTACATAATGTGTTTTTTTGTTTGTTTGTTTTTTTTAGCTCTTACTTCTGGGATGGTAGAAGGATCCCTAAAAATTTTTGGTTTGCAAATTAAGAATAAAATTCAAGCTTCAACTTGAAGTAAATTTTACACCTCTAATTTGTTGGATTATCAAATGTTTAACAAAAGAAAAAATCCTCAGTTATAAACAAAACACCTGATAATCACTAAACAAGAAAGGCAACAAGTATAATACAAATTAAAAACTGGATATTAAGTATTCTCATTGAATTGAGTGTTTATGCATGTACTTTAGAAAAGTCTCTAAACATTTTAACAATCATCATTCATCTTTAAACAGAAACATTTCTAATGAACATGCACACACAGGCATACAAGAAGAGGAGGAAAGCAATTCAGCTGGAGATGATGAACAAATCATCAGAATTATTTTTTTATGAAAGAAATTAATATCAATACTGACATTTTGTTGTAGTCATACGCAAAATAAATATCTCCCTATTTTAAAAAAATGAATGGCTTCACTAAAAACCTTTTTTAAGCTAATCATTTGTATTTTTTTTATGACAGATTCTGGATTACAACATATTAGATAAGTTAAAATTTAACAGCAGATTATATTAAGCTACTAAATATATCAGAATAAGCTATGAGATATGTGTAGGCTCAGCAGGAGAGTTGGCAGGCTCTTAAGATATGTATAAACCTAGCCAGAAAGTGAAGAGATCTAAGGCTAGATGTGGAGAGACTTGCCCAAGGGTCAAAAGTCATAAGCTAACTAGCAATCCAGCACTGCAATGCCTTAAGAGGCTGAACCAAGGCAGAAGTGACTAAAAAATGTTTTTTTTTTTTATAAAATGTTTGGCAATAAAGGAAGGGATCATCTTGAGCCCTTCCTTATTTTAAAAAGTTTCTAAGGCCAGTACTTGCTACCAGCTATTATTGCAGGCTTTCGTAAGTTACTACGGTCAACAGGCTAAGCTATGTAGTGAGGTTAGAGGCAGCTGATTGGACAATTCTTTTTATAATAAAAGGGATTCAGTGGCCGGGTGGTGGTGGGGAAGAGAACTACCTCAAACCTCAGAGAATTTGAGATGAGTGATTGATACTGGTTGAAGTCAGGAAACTGTTTCAAAAGATAAGTTATCTTCAGACTTTTCAGCCCAGTTGTATAGGGATCAAGAAAATAGAATGTTAAAAAACAAGAACAGAATGGAAAAGAAAAAAAAAATGAAGTTGTAAGGGGTTGGGTAGGATCTGAGATGAAAAACGAGTCTGACACCGACTGACCACTGGTTTAACCATCATATGTACACATTAACCACTGGTTCAACTATGGCATATCTGTACAGTCTGAATTAACAGTTTAACAATGTTATTATATCCTGTAACTGCTATTTTAATCTGATCTGTACACCTTTTAACTGCCGGTTTAACAGCTGCACAATAGTCTTTTAACCATTTGTTTAAACCATGGTATGTAAACCTTCAGCCAACAGATTAACTGTAGCATGTGCAACATATAACCATCGGTTAAAAATGGCTTCTGCAGCATTAATCACTGGTTTAATAACAGTATGTACAATCTTTAACCACTGGTTTAATAACAGTATGTACAACTTGCAACCATTGGTTTAGGCCCTAGTATTTACAAGCTACAAATTCATACACCTTAGTAGCTCAGAGCAGATTTTGTCATAGTGCATAGAGTCCCCAGCAATCTTTCTGAATTGTAAACCATTAATTCCGCCATTTTTGCAAACTTTCATTTCAATCTGCACACCACAGTTCTCAAGTTGAAAGAGATTCTGTGAGCATCTGTAGTTGATGTCCGCATGTTGGGTATCAAGCATATGTCGGATTTCATTCAAAATCTCCTGTGTATTTTTTGTGGAGCTTAATGTGATCATTGATCCAAACACTGAATCAAGCGTATAGTTCTGTGAAGAATGCTTCCCTTCACTGTTTGAAGACACATTGTCATATGTTTTGAAGCAGTTTTCATTAGAAGGTGACACATTATTCATCAACATATGATTAGCTACTGAACTAAAACTGTTTAAACAATTCTGTGTTGTGGATTCATGATCAAGACTTGAAAATATGGGAGCGTGTTTCATTGCGTAAGAGAACTCTGTGTAGGCCTCAATTGGCTCTGTGACTGTGTTATGGCGCCAGTAGCGAGTTTGGTTCAATCTGTACACAGGGTTTGAGGAGTTCATCTGGCTTGGAGACCAGTTCTGTATGTTGGGATCATGGCAATAATTATTCCACAGCTGTGAACGCATGGTGTTTTTAAAGCCAGCTTTTTCATTATCTAAATCTGCTTGGATACTGGCCAAATTAGTGTTGACATATTTAGGAGCCATGTACACTGGCTTGCAGGAACTGGCTGGAGCCACAGAATGAATTGGTGAAGATTTGGATGTAGAAACATAGGAACTATAGTTGGACGTTAGTCGGGGAGCAGGTTCCTTTGGAATATCGAGATCGGTATCTGCAGCCATCACATCAGTGTTTCCATACGTGTCTGTGATGCTGATCTGAGGAGTCTGAGCATACTGGCGCTGCCTTATTTCCTGCTGGCTTGGGATTTGAGTCACTGATGCACTTGCTTCTTGGATCTGCATCTCTTCATGCTCGGCTGTAGACTGGTTATCGGCTGTGTCCTCCAGGATGCGGTGCAAATTCTGCTGTAAGTGTGGTGAGTAGGACTGTGTTGGGGATGTATCAGAGCTGCCCAGGGGTCTCATCATCATGTTGTAGTTGGTTGGACTAGCAGGGCTGCCAGTTGTGGGGCTTCCATGTTGCTGAAGATGGAGTCTCTGGAAATGGTTATTAAGGTTTCCTGGCAGCACGTCGGCACTACTGGCTGACTGGCTTGTAGGGGAGGGGAGGGGAGGAGAAGGCACTGGGGACCTGGAAAGACTAGGCATCTGTTGCTGGAAAATAGAAGTCATAATATAAGTAACATTAACAACCAACAAATGGCAATCATAATGCATTCAAAACAGAAATAAATTTGATGAAACTGTAATTTATGGTATTTTTAAAAACATTTAGTATCAAATCTCAAATTTACACAGACACACAAATACTTGGAATGCTGAAAATTTTTCAAATTGAACAAGAATCCCTTGTAAAAAGAAATCTGAAATATAATTAAATTTTGACAATTGGGTTGGGCTGAAAACTTTTTAGCACCTCCTCATACTACCAGAAAGAGAGTTTCTGTTTATTTGTAAAGAAATGAGGTTCAGTCAAACCAAAAGTCAGTCAATTGTACCATTAAGAAATATTTAAATTTTTCACAATTAAAAAAATTTTACCAGAGGAGAAATGTTTTTTTTTTTTTTTTTTTTTTTATTATTTCAAGTATATTTGATTTAAAAAAAAATTTAACTAAGATATAATTCCAATTTTAAATCAGATAAAATAATTTTATCATCTTTGGTTTTAAACTTTGCAATTTTGTTTTTTGTTTTTTTTTTAAATATACTGGGGATAAAAAGTAGAGAAACTGAAATTTCAAGATGAAATCAGTTTCTGATCATAGATAGAACTTACCTGTAATGATTGCTGTTGGTGCAACAGGTGAAAGGCATGTTGCTGCTGTAATAACTCTGCCTGACGCTCCACTGGCTCTCGACAATTCACTTGCTTCTGCAAAGACAACTGTAATTGCATCAGGCATCCCTTTATCTATTTATTTTTTCAGCTAAGAAATATATATATATATATATGTGTTTCATTGAATAATATAGATATATTGTGTCTACTTATTTTTATACTGATCCTTTCTAGTTGTCTAATCAGTTTCTTGATGTTGAGATGAAATTCATCAAGGAAGGTGCTGTAGTTTTTTTTTTTTTTAATCAAGTACTTTTGACCATTTCTAAGATCATCTTCAGGGGAAAATTACAATGACAAACATGCTATTGTAACTGTGATAAAATCAGCAATCTATTGTCATAGTGTCTATATTATTCAATGAAACATGTTTGAATGAAAATATGCTACCGAAATATATATACAAAGCATTATGTACTTATATATTGGCAAAGATTTATAATAGATTTAGCAATCAAAAGTTAGTAGATAAAATATATATCTTTTTTATATATAATTTTATGAATGTATGGTGGTCTTCTGCTAAGTGGTAACATTTTGCCATTCATTGACTGATCACTTACAGGTAATTGAAATTTATAAAATCTTTTTATTAAAACAGTTTTACAGGAAATTAGACTTCTTAAGTCTACTTAATCTTATAGATCTTTAATATTTATGGAAATTTTCTTCCAATCTTTTAGTTTTTAGTAGACATAAAATAAAAATGTTTATCATAAATGAATGGTTTATTTCAAAATAGAAATGATATTGACAAACAAATAAGTAAAGATAGAAGACAAATCACCCAACATAAAAAGGTTTATTTATGCTTTTGAGCATTGGTGAAAAAAATGTGCTGATAATTCTATTCCTAATGGTTAAAGTTCTGCCAAAGATTTGTTGCTTTTTTTTTTTCATGCAAAATCATTCAATAAGATGAACACATGGTTTGGTTCAAAATTCCAATCACCTGAAGAAGGCTTGAGCATAAAACAATCAAAACGTTGTGAATATGACAACAAAGATGAGGACAATAGTCTGAACAATGTAAATGATGAAAAGAGATGAAAACAGATTTTATGTTGTGCATAAGATTGCAATTAATCATCTATTTGTTTATGTAAATTAATATTTTGATTTTGTGATCAGACTTTTTGTAATAGATTCCAGAATCTCAGTTGAAAAAGAAGTCATAAGCAAATAACATCCTGGATGTACAACAGGCATTTAAAATTGTTACTTATTTGAGGGATGAAATTAGTAAATAGGACTTTGTCTATTGCTTATATATAATTATCAATGTCTAAATTACACATTTAAATATCTAACATCTAAATTTATATACATTTAAATGTTATGAAGTAAAACCATAGATTAAAAAAAAAAGATAAACACAAATATGAACTTAATTTATTTCAATGTTTCTATTCAACTATTTGTGCACCTTATTTAGTGTGAAAAATTGTGTCTGGTGATTTCTCAATGTTACATATCAGAAACTTCAACAATATTAATTCATAATTCAATATAATTTTGTAAAAATTTTGAATTAAACAAAGAATATTGAATACAGTTATATGAAAAAAAAAAGGTTAATACTCATTTATTCAAATAAAGGAAAGTTTTAAAAAGTTAAATTAAAAAAATAAAAATACTTTGTTTTAATATTCATTTTTAAAAAGTATTTAAAATAACATAATCAAAGAATAGAGAAAATAATTGTTTAAAAATTTTTTAATACTTATTCAAATACTAATGTTGTACCATTACTACTTCCCTAAACACACACACACACACACATACATACATACATGCTTCTGAAAAAATTATTTCGGTTGAGCTCTTCAAGGAGAAAAGTGAATTAGTAAACAGTGACTATTACTGCTGCAAGACTCTTCAGTAAGACGAATTGAGTTCTCCGGTCACTGGCATGTTTGTCTAAAAATAAATATGTCTAAATTCATCTTCATCCCTGCTGTGCACCAATAGCTTAGGGGTAAAATCTCCAATTGATATCAAATCAGTCGGGTTTCGATCCCGGCTTGAGGCAATCGAACTTCTAGCCACACTGATGAGCTGTGAAACAGCGAAACAGTCTGTCTGTGGATGACTATATATATATATATATATATATATATATATATATATATATATATGCTCTGACAGTATTTGGTAGCATTGGGGTTGAGAATCACTGCGCTTAATGAATGGCAAAATTAGAAAACTATGGAAAAATGGATCATATAGGAATGTCAGCTTTGTGTGTTTTTAGTAGACTATAAAGTTTTTTTTTTTTAGGATGTTATTTGATCAATTTTGACCATGTTTTGACTAATGTTTATAACTACAGAAAAATGTTAATCTCTGCCACTTTCACTTCACAAGTTAACAATTCTAGTAACCTTGTTAAATGACTGAATGATGAAATCTAAACTCATGGCCAGTTTCAATATTAAATCCCTAAACACTAATGTACCTATTAAAAATGTTTAGTAAAATAAAAAACTAACCTCTTCTTACTACTTGACAAAATTATAAAGATTTGCCAACTTATTACAAACCAATGTTATTTCACTTTTAATCCTTTTTGAAGACAGAAATTTACATTAGCAATGGGACCATCTCTTAGAGGAGTTTTAACTTGCCCGTTTCAAAATATTTTCCCAAAATATATTTCCAATATATTAGTGTTATTTTATTAATATATTCCCAGAAAACAATGTTACTTGATCTCATAAGTTAAACAACACTGAATCTACATATGAAACACAAATGATACATTGCTATTCCTTAATATCATGTTAAACTGTACTGATAATGATTTAAAATCTAAACATCTATAAAAAAAAAAAACCACTAACAAAAATGATCTCATAAACTTCTAGTTACACCACCATGGACAAATAAAATCCAGAATAATTATAGGTTTCTACTTAAGAGCACTTAGAATTTGTAAGCCACAATATTTACATAATGAAGAAAATATATTGAAAATACTTTTAAACTTCAATATCCTAATTAGTTCAATATACAGCATGAAGAAAAAAGTTTACAAAATGAGCAAAAACAAAAAATAAAATAACACAAATAACCTTGATAAAACTAGGCACATATTATCTATAGATCGTGATATTTCCAAGGATTCCAATATGGCTAAAAAAGGAATAGAGACATTTGGTTAGATTTGGATGATTCTTGTTGTGTAGCCTTCATGGCCTAATCAATCAGGCACCTGATGATAGAAGGATATTTCTTTAAATCCAATCTATGTTGCTTACAAATGATTATAGCATAGCAATCTGGGATTTATGATAAAAAAATAAACACAAATTAAGAATTAAATAAAGTAAAAAAAAGGAAAATTTTATAACAACACTCAAATGTCTTCATCTGGTTATTTTTCTTATCTATTTTCTTTTTACCTGTAAATCATGGCACTCCTGCTGCAGTTGCTTCAGACTTGTGTGTGTGTGAGTGGGAGAATTGCCTGGGTTCACTGCAGCATTATACAATTTCTCTAGATGTGGTTGGTGCTTGCTCACATTGACTAGAACATCACTGGCACGCCGCAGAGGGGAGTAACGTTCACTTGGCATGTGCGGGACAGCTTCACAGCCTGACAGAGAAAGGGAGAGGTATCAACATGGGTAAGGTTAGTACAATAGAGTCAGACACGGTATCAACTAAGAGTGCACAAGTAAATACAAGCTGGACTAAGCTTACATCATTAGGGATTAAGTTTGTGACTTTGATAAGAATGGATGGAGTAGAGACAAAAAGGACCAAAATTCTGCTGCAAGCCTTTTAAAGTCAGTATCACTAATATCTACCAATTCAATGTGCAGAAACTGGAAATGAGCATTTTATTAATCTATTGAATCCATAGTATATGTTGGTGTGTTGTACCAGTAATCACCATAATACAAGTAAATTAGTAAGAACATGTACTTCAATTTTAGAACCTGTAAAATAGCTTGAAATATATTAACTCTCTACTGCTCAGTGCTTTTAAAAACAGGGTAAGTAAATTAGAGCTTCATTTCTTGATTAAATTTCTGTAAATAATTTGAAATGTTCTTATGGTGTAGTAAAATGGACTTGTCTATTTCCAGTTGTGGTGTTTTATAAGCTTTATCATTGGTGGGTTTTGCTGAGAATCTACTCTGCTTCCTGAAATGCACATATGTAAATAAAGGCTTGTAACACAGATATACTTTTCCCAAGAGTATTTGCGTGTAAATGAATGTAACAAACCCAACTGGAATTCAAACTCGGCTGTTATCCATTACACTATCCACAGATCCACAAGTGGTCAAGTAGCAAAGCCTAATGAATTAATACTGAAGTTGAGGAACCACTGTAGTAGATTAATCTAAGAGACTATAGCCAGTTTGAATCTCAATATGTGCCCGACAAATATAGCATCATGTTAAAATTGATATCTATTTTTGTCGTAACCTAGAAAGGGTTACTGAATTACTGAATGAGGAATAACCAAAACAGAGGTTGGAAATGAAATGGTAATCTTCATAACATCAACAAAATAAAATACTTGCCAGTGGTGTGAAGTAGGTAAACCACTGCCAGTGGTGGACTACTTAGACAGCATATTACCCCCACTTACAATAGTGTCCAGTGTATTCATGAGGATTGGGACGTATCCATTAGTGTTCATAGGTATGGTATATAACAATTTTATAATGCAATTTTTAGGTCATGTAGCCTAATCTCTCCTCATCAATGAGATATACCATTGTTATGATAACAGGATTTGTAGAAGTATGTCTCTCTTGCTTCATGTCTTTTTTCAACGAAAGGAAATTGTCCAGCATTCACTATGATACAATAGGATAGATCTGATATAGCAATTTAACACTCTTTTCTTTATAAAATTTGTCTATGTCTTAATACTTCACTTAGTTTTTGGAAGGCATTTTCTGCTATTCTGATATGTCTTCATATCACTCCTATTGCATTTTACTTCATTGTCTGGATGATTTTCTAAGTATTCATCATTGATTTAAGGTAAAATATTACTTTATGTATTTAAACTATTCTGGTGTTAATTTAAACTGACACTCCCCTCCTCCATATATATGTAAACTATAAATTTGGAAAAGGGAAAATTTCACTGAAATATGTTGGAAAACCTCAAGGTTTTCATTTGTCATCAAAATAAGTACAAACTTTAAGCAAAATGGTCACAATATATGGTGGTGGTGGTGAAAAGAAGAATGTGTTGTCAGTTTAAACTGACAGCTGTAGGATATGGGATAAATTGATAATTCTCATGTTTGAAATTGTTTCTTTTTGTTTAGGCATTAATATATGATCTGACCCCTGACCTATTGCTTGGACAAGTCAAACCATTTATTAAGGGTTGGTTGGGTGGAATTTTTGTATTTAAAGACATTTCAAGACTTCAGTGATTTAGAATGACTAAGTAAAGAATACCTAAAATTCTGAAATAATATGTCTTTTTAGGTTTTATGTGTCATGGCTATCCACAGATTCCTTTTCTTTATTATATCTGAATTACCATGCCTTTTTGGGAAAGATAGTGGAGTGGTTTCTTAAATATTTTTGAATCCAGAGTAGTCTTTCTCCTAGACTGGCTGCCACTTATGGCTACAGAGCCAAGACTACCTACTCATAAGTGGGAGGAGAAGAGATGGATACATACCTTTCCCAAAGGTAAAGTGAAAAATTGAACCCAACAGACTTGGCCACAATTTGAGCTTGGCCAGCAGATTCCACTTTCCACACCAACAACCATCACGCTACACATATAAATTCCTTAATATTTTTATATTTCTAAGAAAGGGGAAAAAATTAAATATTGAAAGTAGAGTTTTTTGTTTGTGGGGACTAACTAGTTCTCTTTTGTTGATACTCTTTCAGCTGATATATCTTCAGATCTCTTACAAGGAACTTTATGACTAAAGGTTGTGCTCAGAATGACAGCTCATTTACAACACAGGTGTAGGATTTGGTTGGAGAGGAAAATTCAAGATTTATTGGTTCAGATTAATGATTAACACATTGGCTTCCACATGGACCCACCGGAGGGTCATGGTAATATGTCTGCAAGGCCCATATGATCCCTTGGTGGATCATTTTCCAATTTCAATTCTGTGAGGATTATTGGTAGTGTGATGTTATGATTGATTGCTTATGAGATCATTGGTACACCAGAAGCACATTTTTAAAAAAAAATTTTTTTTAATATTTTTTTTATTTTTTTTGTCTTATTTCGGTTTCCTTTTGGAATTTTTACTGTTGTTTTTTGGGTTATTTTTTTTTTAAATTTTTACAGCGCTGTACCATGCACTTATCTGTGACTGTGTTGTAAAAAAGGTACCAAACAATAGACTGGTGAATTGTGGGTAATAAATATTACCTATGATATCCTTGCCTCATATATGAAACAATGTTAAAACAAAGTCGCTTGTACCAAAATTAATTAAGATATAGTGTTGGGACAACAAGGGAAATGAGGCCTGGGAGCCAACGTGGTAATAGAGTGGATTCATTTGAAACCAAATCTCCTTGGAGTTCAGTAATTCATCTATCACAATGATAGCTTTCAAGAATTTATTCGTAATTTTCATCGAATGAAAAAATCTAATCCACAATACCTGGAGTGGTTTCAGACCGATGTAGACCACTCCGCCTCATGGTCCTGACTGAATGGAGAGTAAGTTTCTTCTGCAACTCCTCGGGAATTTCTTGGGCAGCACTGGTCATAGCCACAGTGTGTCGTTTGGACAGGCCGCGGTTGTTCATGTAACTGAAGAGAAACATTATTTTAGTTAAAAAAGACTTTAAAAGATATAACAAATCGATAAAGTTCCCAATAATGAAATCTGATTTGATAATATTTGAAATATCTTTTTATAATCTATCCAGATCAATGTATGAGAGGTTTATGCATAATTTAATTTCTAATTTATGTAGTACTGGCCAAATGTACCATTGACATGCATAGGGTTGTTATAAATCGTTATCTTTTAGCTGTTAATTTGCATAAGTGCTGAAAATGTGGTGTGTCGCTAGGATATTCCAGCTCTGTAACAGAAATTTAAAATTATGACTGAATGAAAATAAATAAAATTGTATTTTATATATATATATATATATATATATAAAAAGAGCCAGATCAGGTCAAAAATGGAGTACTGTTGTTAAATTTAAGTGGGAACAGCCCAGCCCTCACTTTCCAGTCTTTGAGTTCAAAATGTCTCCAAGTCCTTGTGGATGACAAATTATTTTCTATCCTCCAATCTCTCTCTCTCACAAGTGGGATTATGCAAGCCTCTCACTACTCTATCGCTGCTTCCATGCTTCTGCCAAGTCTAACTTTCCTGGCTAGGATCCACCATGTACCCACATTCCCTCTATTCCATCGGTGAAAAGTAAGTTCCACTTGAGCTACTTCTTCCTGCAAACCGCTGTTCTGTGGAACAGACTCCAAGAGGATGTTTCTCTGAACATTACAATCTTAACCTGTTCAAATCTAGAGTTACCCGTTATCTTCCCCTCTTACCTGTATAAAATACCCCTTAATGTAACCCTCTACCTCGAGTGGTCCCTGAGCCTTGTACAGGGTGAACCTAATTCTGAAATTTATATATTTGATTGAGCTCAGGACTGTTTTTTAAAAATTGATCTTGTGGTGCTAATCCCTATATGTCAAAGCATATGCAGTAGCTTCACATAATCACTTCACACAAATCAGTTATTAATCATTCTCATATTCATTATTACAGTTGTCAATTTTTTCTCTGCAAGCTAATGTTATAATGATGTGATTTGTTTTTCTGTTATTGTAACAGTAAAAACAAAAAATTATAGTGGGATTTTGGTTAGAGTATTTTAATGCTACTACAATAGTTTGACAAATAAAACTATTTCCAGTCAAATTTCTAACTTTCTTTTAGCAGATTGTATTTGAACTAAACTCAAATGATTCAATTTCATGAGACAGATAACTTCTGGTATATTAACAGATCACGACAGCTATTAGGGAGATGTGATTAGATATATTTTAATGTTTAAAAAATTTATTCAGTATTATTATTGTTTAGGTAATAAGTATTATAACAGCACAAATAGCTATATTGTGGAAAAAGGAATTTTCAACAATATATGCATTTTTTACGTATTTATAGTTATTTTTTTTTAACTTTTATCAAAAACAACATTCTTGTACATGTAGTTATGGATAATACTATACATTAATTACTAATTTTTTTTAATTAATAACTATTTGTGCTCAGTTGTTGACATTAATATCTATCTGCTGATATGTTAAAATTTTATCCATTAAAATTGTAACGTTGTACATATATTTCAGTAAAATATTGAATTTTCACAATATGAAAGAATAGAAATGAACCAGATATTTAGCCATTGTGTGTTTCTTCTAATTTTCATTTTAAAACTTTTTTTTAAAAATGAAAGGTGCTAACTAGACATACCCAGTAATACATTTATATTTCTATACATTAATAACCTATGAAAATAAAAAATATTGTCTTTAATTAAGAATGAAAGGAGAAACAAATATTTCTGACAATCAAATACCTATTGTAAACAATTATCAGCACCTGTTTACTTTGTGTTTTATTATCTATTTGGGTTGAGTGTATTCACAAGATTTTTGTTTCAAGTAAGTTTTATAACTGAGTAAAAAATTTTGAAAACGTGTACAATGCAAACCCCTTTTTTTTGCTTTTAAGTTTTGTTAAAATTTCTCATATTATGCACAAAAAAATATGGTAATTCCTAAGATTATATAATTTTCTCTGTGAATGTATTACACATTTCCTCTTACATGAGTGCCAACCACATCATGACCGAAAAGACAAAATAAAATCTCATAACTGAAATCTAATAAGCTTTGTTCGAAACACTAAAACTCAGAACCAAAATAAAAAAAAAATACATGAAAGAAAAATTGCAACACTTTGAAGAAGGATGCTTACTTTGTTCTGGGTTACAGCCTGTGTATGATAGTTTAGCAAAATTTTTTAAATTTTAGCTTAATATGTGATGCAATAACACTCATGTCAGCATTCAGTTTGTGTCTGAACTTTAGATGGTGATGAATGTTGTGGCAAAAGAGTCCCATGGCAGCATACATAGTGGATTAAAAGAAAAATTTTGTTGACCTTTATGACAATGCAAGGCCACATACAGCAAGAATAACACAGGAATAAATTTTGGAACTTGCCATATTCACAAGACCTTGCACCAAGTTTGATCACTGCAAAAACACTTTGATGTGGGGAAACTTTCATTTTTGTAAACCCAAGCAAAGTTGGAATGCCACTAGTATGCAGGGGGTTACAGAGAGTGAAGGTGAGAGAAAAGACTGGGGGGGGGATCAAAGAAAGGATAAAAGCAGAATAGGGTTCAAGAAGATAGATGGTGATTGATATAGTATGTAAATTTGGAAAGTTTGTAGTTATCAGGGAAGCAAAGAAATGGAAGGGAGTTCCATAGGCAGGAAGTGTGAGAAAAGAAACTGCTGGAGTAGAAGAGGCAGTTACATTTACCTAATTCAACAGTAAAAGGGTGGGACCTAGATGCCAATCTAGTAGCATGCTTAAACATGTAGTCCAGGCACCAGGGAAAAAAATCTTATCAGAGCAGTAACCATGAAAATATTTGTAGAAAAGACAGAGGGAAGCCATGTCATGTTGGTGAGAAAATGACTGAAGTCAAGATGTCATGTCAGGATTGATTACATTGCAGATCCTTCTTTGGATTTTGTCAAAAACCTCAAGATGAGTAGCAGGAGCACCTGACCAGATATGGCAACAGTATTCAATGCATGGATGACTGGTAGATTTGTAAGTGTGTAAGATGGATTCTGATGAGAAAACCAAATCCAATAGTTTTTTGAAAACATTTTCATACTGTGGAATTTTACTCAAAAGATATCGAAGAGCTGCCTGATAAGTGGCAGCAAGTCATTGCAAATAATGGTGGATATATAATTGATTAAAAAGTAATTATACTTTATTCTTCTAAGAATAAAGTTGATAAGCAAAAACCTCTGTTTTTATGACTTAGCCTAATATTAGATTTCTGTTAGCTAAAAAGATATTGCCAAAGTCTAATTTGAAATAATTGTGCTCATTTATAAATTGGTTATTTAACTTTGCTTTAGTTTATTTAGATATTTGTTGATCATTTTCTTCCTGCAACTAAATGCAAAAGATACTGCAGTAATTCTAGTGAAACTATCAAAGAACACGTACAGGTAAAGTGGTATAGTTCTTAGACAAGCTCAAATAATGAAAAGTCACATCTATTTTGATATTAAAACAATTGCATAGAATCATGAATTATCCATTCAAAGTGAATATTTGAATAAGATGGTTATTTCAATAAACTGTAGTCAAATCAGTAGAACATATTTTCCAGTCAATTTTGCAAATGCAATGAGAAAAAATATATCCATTTTTTGTCATTGAAATTCAAACTTTGTATTACAAGACAAATTTGATAAATGGTTATGACAAATGAGTAACATTACACTTATTAGAGATTCAAATATTTTAAAAGTTTTAAATTCAATATGTCTTCAAATCATAACATGAAATTAAGGAGCATTTTTTGGGAAATAACAAGCAGATTGGTACATGTTAAACAAGAGATCAGTAATATTTGATAAAGTGATAGAGATTTTCTGTGGGCGTGTTTGTGAGATGAAAAGAGACCAAAAGAAAAAAAAAAAAATTTACTTACTTGGACACAGCTTCCTTATCAGGTTCTTGGTCCGAACTACCTTCTTCCCCGGTGCCTGTCCTGCTAGTTTCTTCAACTGTTACAGAATGCTGAAGCAGAGGACTATTCAACGATAATCCAGCTGGGGAGCCAGTGGTTGTAGTCTGAACATAATGATAACACAAACAACTTAATTCTCAAGACTTAAATAATAAAATGTGGATTCAATGATGTAGGAGAAACCTGTTTTTTTCTTGAAGATCAATAATAAAACTTAAATAATTTCTATCAACAACTTTTTTTTCAATGCCTTCAACTTTAAATGTCAATTAAAAAAAAATATATATATAGTCTCGAAAAATATAAAAAAAAAAAATCAATACTTTTTTTTCACTTTTCAGTGCATCAGTAAAAAATAAAATGTTTCTGTGAAATTTTATAAACGGTTTTCAATGAGGGTTTCATGTAAAGTAAATAATTCTCTGGAAGAAAGGCTTACAAAAATATTTTTTTAGATAAAAAAAGAAAAAAATTAAATTAATTTTGAAGTTTAAATATTTTACAGGTTTTATGATTAAAGAGGGATTCTTTTATTTCTTTTAATACTTGTTTTTTTTTTGTCTTAATGTAAATCATAAAAAAACAGTAGGAAGGCATGTTTAAATGTCACGAAAAGTAGTTTGACATTTTTCTACTTTGAAAATACATTGATGCTAAATTTGTACAGTTAACATGGATTTTGATCAATGACATTGAGACTCTTCAGACAGTTATAAAAATTATATAAAGCCTTTTCACAATCTATGGGGTAAATGAAATTAAAAAAAAAATTATCAGCTAAAGTGTAAGCAAGTCATAGATTCTTTTGTGATACAATGAAGTCAGTTTCAAATCAAAAGTTTATATTGTCATTTTAACATTGTCATCAATTCAAAAACTGAGCAATTGTGAAGTTATGCAAAAAGTGGGGAAAGTAATAATTGGACAGAAGGACAGGTCGATTTTTCATTTTTTTTTTTTTAAATAAAAAATAAAATCAACATTGCACTTGGTGTGAAAGCTGGAGTTTATTGTGGTAAGTACTGACACTAAAAATTAGATTCTTATCTTTTACCAATTTTTAAGCATTTGGTTTTAAAATCATCTAAAAAAAAAAAAAAAAAAAACGTACACAAATACATAATTTCTGAATTGACTTCAAAATTTTATTTTAAAAATATTCCAAATAAGTCGATATTTTTGTATTAGATACATTGAATGGAAAGCTTATGCACGTTTTTTATTGTATTTGATAAGTAAAAACTGTGTAAAAAGAAATTGTAAAAGAGTAAAAAAAAGAAAAAAAGGCAAATTAATGAATAAGATTTGTTAGGTCATAATTAATAAAAACAAAAATAGATAAAAGTGTATATAACACTATAATACAGCAGGGTAAAAATTACATGACAAAATGTTTTAAATTTGCATTGTTTATTGAAAATCATACCATAACTACTGTGTTGTAGAACATATTACATCATAATATAGCTAAGTTGTTTAGTATAATTTCCCTTTGAAATAAATGAAGGTCTTATTTGATGGTACAATCATTTAGTAGTAACATGCTTGTGTTATGCATCTTGTCCATATACAATTTGTAAAGGTTCAGTAAATTATAAATTTTATAAGGCTGTTCTATAAGGCTTTCACCAATCATTGGAATGAAATTCTAATGCTACAATTTTGGACCTAAACTTAATCTTTAAACTCGTTACCACAAAAAAACTAACAATTTTGGGAAAAAATATTTTCTGTCATTATTTATGTCAAATCATGACTTTCAAATGGAGTGCAATATCATGATTCCAAATTTGACCTGCCCTACTGGACGGTGCACAAATTATAGGTTTTAGTAGGTGAGGTAGAACTTAATAATCTGAATGGCCATTATTTTTCATGGTGCAATTTGTGATCTGGAATTGTTGTATACAAGCAATTTTTCTATGACTGTATATTTTTTGTTTTTGCAACTGAAGCAATTACATTTTGCAGCTATATGTAGTAGACTTCATCAGTGATGGACTTTTTGGATCAAGAAGTTAGCAGCAAACAATACCTCATATATCTCACGAACAATACACCAAAACCTTTTTTCTGAGTACATATACTTTAGAGAAATTAAAAACACACACACACACACATATATATATGATAAAATTCAAATGGCAATTTCAATTGTCTGTCAGTAGATGTGGTTCCTCATGTTCACATTTAGATTGATAATTGTAGTTAAATAACCTACTGTGGTGAACTGTAAACTGATTGCCATAACTCAGCACTGTCCATCCCGATTCAGCTTCAATGGTCATTAAAGTTAAATCTTGTTTGTTGTCTTAAATTGGTTCTGTTGGTGAATACAACTTTTGATAGTGTGTTTGAATGCCTGGTGAATTTGGTGCATTAACCCCTTGTAAGAGATCAATTTTTATTACATTGTTGATGAAACTGATAATTGTGAATATTATCAACTTGTGTGTGTATATATTAGAGAGAGAGAGACACACACACATACTTATACATGAGGGTGCTGGAAAGTTCTTGGTTCAACAAGGGAATTCCAAAATAAATTTTGATATTTAGTCATTTGGTTAAATTTTGAGAATTGGATTGGTCTGAGAAATTTTCAGCACCCACTACATTATATATTATAAACACACTCGATTGAAAAATTTCTTGAACATTCTATGCCTGAAGCAACTAGATTTTTTCTATAATCTGAAATTATCACCAATTTAAGATAAAAATGACAACAAAAAAAGTACTACAAAGCAAGAAAAAAAATAATCTAGTCATTTGTTTCCAAGTATGATATTGTTTGCAGTATGATATATAAAAAAAATCTTTTTCTCATATAAACATATAATATTGCTCATGGCACAGTTTTTTCTTTTCTTTAACTTTAAACCATAGTCTAGTAATGAAGATATATCTTTTGATGCCTTTTACAAACCTCTGTTAAAAATAACAAGATGTATTCTAATCTACACCTGCAGAGCTTTTCCTTTAAATTATAATGTGGTTAGTAACAAATTACAGTCAAATTTTTAAAAATAAATATGTGCAAGTGATTGTGTAAAAAGAGTCAAAAACACAAGGTAGATACTTACTGCTGTGAGACCTTCTTTGCTGCTTGGTTGGGACTGCTGCTGAAAATGGCGTAGGAAGCAGTGAATATTGGCGCCACCATCAGATGCACGCCTACAAAAATTGGAAGATCCTACAAAAAGAAAATGAAACAAGTCACAGCAAACCTTTCTTGAATATTTTACTGTTTTATTCTTTGATTAAGTGTTTCATTTTTGTTTCTTTCATATAAAGGCTATATGAATAATCTGCAATCTATCTTAGGAACAAAGGATTTGCATGTGAATAGAGAATGAATTCAGTACTCCAAAAGTAGAAACCAGAATGTGATAAAGATGTGTTTTTGAACCTGATTTATTTAGCTTGTACAACTTCAATAACATACACTACACAAAGGACACTGTGTGGATGATAAATTCAGAAGGAAAACTGAAAGAACTATTAGACAAGGTAGTTGAGGAAAGCAAGAAGAAAGGACTAACCATTAGCTGTAGAGAAGATGTTAAGAGATAGAAATATAACATAAGAAACAAAGAAAAAAGGTTGAACTGCTATTTGACAGTGAAAGCTGAACTGTTTTGTCACAAATAATAAAAAAAAAGGTGAGGCAACCAAGATATGTTTCTGTTGAAAATATCATGTGATTAATAGAAACTACAAAAAAAATCAGAAAGAGACAGCTGAAATTTTTGGGACATTATGAGAAAAGATGTATTTGCTGAGAGGAACAAAAAACAGGCAGCTGTAGAGAGCCATAGCTGTGCAAGTCCTAAAGAAATATGGCACATAGAAAATGTTCATGTACAATAGTACTATTTTAGGTAATGAAACTATAAAGAAAATAAAAACAAAGAAAAACTAAAATATAAAATAAAACCTGAAAACACTAAAACTACTGTTGTTACAGTGTTGTTTTTTAAGATTTAGAAATATTTAAAAAAAAATATAATAAATTCATTACTGACATTTTATGGTCTTAAAATAAAAAATACTAAAGGTATACATAGATTCTGATTAAATCATTTAATGTGTTTCTTATAAAATAACTGATAATAAAATGTGCACCATGTGAAAAGAAAAAAAATTTAGACAAAGTTCTTACCTGGCCCAAGAATAGGGGGAGGTTGAAGTAGGTTTTGGTCCCGTCGCAAACTGGGTGAGGTGGGCAGCTCATTGTGCAATTGTTGGGGTACATTTTGGGGTAGATTTGTGTTGGGCAGTGGTGCCCCAAATGGCATCAAGTAGTTGTGCTGGGGAGGTGTGGCTATGATAGGCTGGTGGTTGGCCAGCTTTACACGCACATCCTCAGGAACTTCGTGGCGAGCATCACCAACACCGACCGTGTGTCGTCGCATAGCCAGGTAGCGTGCCAAGGCTTCTGGTGAGGGTTCTTCACTGTCGGAGTCTGACTGCTGTGATATTGCATCTGGCTGAAAGTCAAAAGAGATTTAAGTTAGAAAAGAGCAAAAATAAAATGAGTTGTGACAAAAGCTTTTGTGAATTAGTCAAGCAATTGTTCCTGTGTTTTGAATAAATCATTTCTAGTTGATGATTTTGTCAGTGAGAAATTTGGATTCATTATCTGTATTGAAATTTGGTGGAAAAATTCAATGGAAAATGAAAATATAAAGATATTAAGAAGTAAGGTAAAAAGTTTACAAATTAATGTTATTTTTGTAACCTTTTGTTCTTTTGATTGCCAAATGTTATGTGGTGAAGGTTGCAAGAAACTGTTCTCAGTATGGGTTGAACACCACGTTTTTCTGTGAACATATTTCTATCCAATTAATACTTTCACAAAAGTCTTCTGATTACGTTGACTGTAACACTTGTCTTTTACTATGTGCTACCCACAATGACTAACTTGACACTTTAAATTGAGCTCTATTAATGTCACTCAAATGCTGACCATTAATACGTTCTTCCCTACACTAAGCCAATAGAGCTGACAGCTGCACACATTAAAACATGGGTTCCCATATGATTACCGAAACTAAGCAATGTTGAGCCTGGTCAGTACCTAGATGGGTGATCACTAAGGAATACCAGGTACCGTAAGCTTGGATGTGTGGGTAGTGTAATGGATAATGGCTTGGAATTGTTAACTGGAGAGCCAAGTTCCAGTTAGGTTTGTTATATTCACTTATGTGAAAATACCCTTGGGAAAGGTATGAATCCATCATTTCTTCCCCTATCCATGGGTTAATTAGAAAAACTTTTATCACTAAAACCATTATTATCTCAAAAAAAAAAAAAAAAAAAAAAAAAAAATTGTGTACAAAATATTTAGATTTTGACATTAAATAATCTAGAGATTGATATGTCATTAAACAATAAAAAAAACAACAAACAAGTCAGTAGAATCTGTCTATATTTCTGAGATGAGGTATTATGTACATTATTTACATTATTCGGACTATTGTCCTCATCTTTGTCGCCATATTTATCACAACGTTTTGGCCGTTTCCTCAAGGACACATGGCACAGTGGATAAAGGCGTTAGTTAGATCCAGTGACAGGACCCAAAGAGTGTGAGTTCAATACCCAGTTAAGGCAGTGGAGAACTTTCAGAGGGAAATTAGCAGGAGATAACTGATAACTGACATCCATCAAACATGGCACGTGGAACTAAAACAGTCTGCCCCAGTGAGCGAAATTCCAACCACCTGAAGAAGGCCGGAGCGTACAACGGCCGAAACGTTGTGATAAATATGGTGACAAAGATGAGGACAATAGTCCGAATAATGTAAATAAAGTCAGTAGAAGTGGTAGGTGGTGACCTCATAGTCATACTGAGAATAGTAATCTTCACAAAAAAATAAATGTAGCTGATTGGCTGATCAAATTAGTTAATGGTTATTTTACATTTGGTTGTATGACTGTTAGTTATTAAAAATTGTAGTATTTATTTTTTAAATTAGAGTATATATAAAAGAAGTGATGAAAAGTTTTGGGCTCAGTCAATTTTTCTAAAATCTAACCAAAATGACCGAACATGAAATTTTAATTTTTGGGGGAGGTTTTTCTTGGTCAGGCCAAGAACTTCAACACCCACTTGTATATCATTCTTATATAATTCAAGTGATTTTCAAAGTGGATTCCTGCCATAATAAACAAGATTATGCTTATTTGAAAGAATTTAAAACATTTATTTAACCAAAGAATGAATTGAAAAAAAATTGGGGATGGATGTTACAGTTACACTACTTACATCTGCCAATTGTGCTGCATCTGTGAAGAATGGGCGTGGTGGATAAGTGGACAGAGCTGGAGAAGGAAGGTGGCTGGGTGAAGGTTTGTCAAGGACTTCGACAGGAACCTCCACTCTTTCAACTACAAAGAGAGAAAGAAATAAAAAGAAAAAACATGCTAGAGCACAAATGTAGCAATTTTCTTGTAATGTCCTTTCAATATCTTTTATAAAAACACAATTGTAATTTCATGTACAATGATAATTTGCTTGTAATGTATTGAGAAAAAAAACATTTCATGAATTGTAATCTGAAGAACACAAGACAACAAAATACAGCCTCAATAAAATACTTGAATAATCAGTGAATAATTCATTCATTCTTGTATAGCTTGGTTAAAATATTTTTTTAATTAGGTATATTGGGATAATTATCTTTTTAAAAGTTGAAGCAGGTATATCAGGAACAAGCCTTGAAAAACTCTTTCCATATATCCACAATCTTCAGTATTAAAAACATTTCATAATATCCTAATATAAAGGTTGATGTACTTGTAGCTACCAAAGCATACCTATGAACACATGTTTAAACATACAAAAATATCTATGGAAGATACAACATACAAATTCATATATCAGACAAATAATGGGTAAATGAATGGCAAAATTTAAAAAAGAAAAAACAATTTCTATATTATGCATTTTGCCTTTCAAAAGACTTCTTCAGTTTAATAAATGTCTATAATATATATATATATATATATATATATATATATATACACACAAATAAAAAGAAAGAACAATCAGGTTAAGAATCCACAGTTCTTCAGCATTTATTTTTTTAAAAAGTGCTTGTTACAACATAGAGCATAATATTTTAATATTTTTATTTAAAAAATATTTTACATTATTTAAATTTGTTCCATTATCAAGCAATGTTGGGTAACTTTTGATAATGATTTACTTTTGAAAACAGATTGATATTTTATTGAAGTTTTAAGAAGGAGTGGGGAAACAAGATTTCAAAATTTTATGATGTAAGTTGGGGCAAAAGTTTTTTGCTTTAGTGAAAAAAATTTTTCCAAGTAATAATTCTCTTAGCAAGATTTTCAATAAAAATACACTAAAATTAAGTTATAGCTGTACTGATAATCTAGAAAAAATTATAAAAAAACAATAAAATTTTAAATAAACATTTACACCTAAATAAAAATAATAGAAATTCTAAAATGGAAATCAATAATAGTGATAATAAATTATGTAATTGTAGAAATCCCATAAATTGTCCATTGCAAAATAAATGTCTTACTGACTTTATTGTTTACCAATGCAACATTTCATCTACTGAAAACCCAGATGTTAAGAAATTTTATACTGAAAGCACAAAGAACCCTTTTAAATGAAGGTGGTATCAACATATTTCTTTCTTTAACAACAATGGGTACCATAACTGAACATCAAAATATTTTTGGTATTTAAAAGAAATCAATAAAACCCCCACAGTAAAATGGAAATTATTAAAAAAACGAGAATTTGTATAGTCATTAAATGACCCATGTCCCTTGTATCTACTTGAAAAGCTACATATTATTAAGTTTCCTAAAATAATGATCTATTAAATCAGTGGAATGAACTAACTGTAAAGATGTTTAGCTTAAAATATAGTTAATAGAATTTTTCATAAAAAAATTCATATATTACAATTATATATCCATTATTTTATTATATATAATGGTACATATAATATTTATTCAATTCCCTGATTTTTAATTTTAATATTTCCATGTCTTATTGGCCCATTGAATATAAGTATTGTAATATAGGATCAATAGAATATAATAGAATATAATATATAAAAATGATTTAATCATACTTAAGGCCCCTTTTAGTTCTAAAGTATAAACAAAAATAATTTTTTAAAAATCCTAAAATTAACCTATTGTTGTATATATGTATATATCTCTGATCATTTCATTGTATCTTAAAATTATATTCTTAACCAGAAGTAATGGTAACACGTCTAAAAATGACAGCTCATCTAGACAAATATGAATAACACACACACACACACACCTAAACCTCTAACTTACATTTTTCTCATTTCTCTGCTTTAGCTTTGACCTGTCTTTTCATTCTTTTTTGGTCAAACAGGACATACCCATAAAATTTTGAAATCTTGTTTTCCCTCTGAGAAAGTGTTTCTGAGGAGAAAAGACAATAAAGAGAACTGTCCTTGTTAGAGAAGGATTATTTTCCACCCACCAACCTCTCTCACAGGCGAAATGTGGCGAGTCTCTCATTGCTCTATTACTACTACCATGGAAAGTTCTCAGACGAACTACATTCCTTGGTTCTGCCAGGTCTAACTTTAACAGCTAGTACTCCACCCCATGCCACTTACATAGTAGCAAACCACCTACATTCCTCCGTATTCCATTCAAACAGCTTCTTCCCGTGAACCACCACTTTGTGGAATAGACTCCCAAGAGTATGTTTCCTGATTACTACAATCTTAACCTGTTCAAATCTAGAGTTAACCATTATCTTCCCCTCCTATCTATATAAACTACCACTTAATGTAACCCTCTACCTCAAGTGGCCACTGGGCCTTGTACAGGGTGAACCTTACTGTAGAAAAAAAAAATGATTGAAGAAGACAGAATATGATGATTTTCAAATATTTGTTTGTAGATTGAATCCCTCTTAAAAACATTCACATTTTGGATATACTAGTGCATGCAGACAGATAAAAATTTCAATACAGGTTTGTATAGGCTGAAAGAAAACACTAAACATGCACTGTAAATATAAGTGGAATACATGAACAATTGTAAATGATACCTTATCGGTGTAAATTCAACTACTTTGATAATTCTTTGTACACATTATTCTTTTTTATGACCCCATATATAATAAATGAACAGTCTGAATTTTTCTTTATATAGCTTTGTTTCTCTGTCCTTAACTTCTATCATGTGATAGCAAACAAATGTATAAAAATCATCAAGTGAATTGAAGCCTCTGACTTGGAGGTGACCAGACAAGTGACATAGTCATAATACCAGCATGGTAAAATTATAAATACTAAATTAGGTTTTTCTTTAGTTTTGAACAAAATCAAAGACCACTAGTTTCTTCTATTTTTCTCACTGGATTTACTAGTCATCCTGTTTTTCAATTGCTTTGAAAATTTTACATTGTAAGTACAATTCAGTACTAGTGATTTCAACTCTTACTAGCAACTGCAATATTCAACTAAATAAAATTGGTTGATCCATGCTCTTCTTGAATGAGTTGCTCATCTGCCATCAATCCCTGTATATCAAGCCAATGTATCAGTCTGTTGATGCTTGCCTATCGAGGTAAATAACAATAGGGAGGTTCAGATTCCAAAAAATCATAAGTCTCAGGTCGTAATTCCAAGGATCAAAAATCAGTCTTGCAAGTCCAACATTAGAAAATACCGGGGATGTTAAATCAAAAGTGTAAAAACTTCACATCCCAACACAACATCTTCACCCAAGAAGAGCCAAGCTGTCCTGTGATCTTGAGTTCTTTTATTGGGGTAAGAAAATTTGTAAGGAAGCAAAGATTAATTACCATATTTCAAGGCCTACTAAAGTTGAACTGATCTTGATTCGGATTTTATTTTTCAATAGATAGCATAGAGAACACAAATTCTTTTTCCAGGTAAAACTTTTTTTTTTTTTTTAAAATCATCACCACTCCTATCTATACAGTGGTAAGCTACTGCCCACTCCAGAATTTTTGTCATTGAAGTTTGCTTGTCTAGGTAAGGTGTTTGCCTCGTAACCATGAACTTGCCAGGAGATAAACTCCTGCCAGTATAGCTCTCCAAGTCATAGGAGCATGCAAGCCACTGCACCATGTTAAGGTGCTTAATAATAGTTGACTGCACAGATACTACACTGATCCGAGGCACAGGATTAGAGAGTTACATATTCATCATAGGCAAAGTTCCATTCCATATGTAAATAATCCAATCATTTTTTTATGGGTACTATACTAGTGTATGTATGAACTTGAAAACCAAAAGATGAACTTCTGCTTGTATTAATTATTGTCTTGTTCTATTGATAGATGAAAGTCATCTTTTATTTTGCAACAAATTTGGTTGAAAAAAACTTAAAACAAAAATGAAAGGAAAGTGTTAAAGTTGAATAAGCTGATATATTTTTAAAGTTCAGGAATGATTATTGTAACTCTTTGAACATTTAAGCCTGATATTTTGGGCTCAGGGAGATCTGATGTTAATAATAAAAGACTTAATGTGGTGACTTTTTTCAGCCCTTATGCCCTGAAGCAAAGTTTGAATGTTTTGTGTCAGATTTATTTTTGTGAATTTCACAGTGGAAAAGACAAGCAAAAACTCTCATTGCAGAAAGTGCAGTCTAGATGACCAGAGCCTGGCAGCTGATCTCTCTTCTGAACTAGCTCTAACAGCTCAATGGGGGGGAAACTGGCTTGTAACATTCAATACATTCAAAATCAAATTAGTAACATTCCATCATAAAGTAAATGCTGAATATTTTTTACTACCACAATAAATGGTTGTTCTTGTAAGGAGGCTCTTTGCCTTGAATTCCTATTGGGGTTCAAGTTGACCCAAGATCTCAAGTAGAACTCATGTATATGATCCATTGCTATAGAAACTGGAAAAATGGTTCGATACTTCAACCACTCCAGTAAGTACTCAACTTCTCCTGCTATGTTCTATCTTTACAAAAACCAAGTCAGACTGCTAACCTATTCTGGGTGGGAGATGCCCAGTCCTTACTTTCCAATTTTAATAGCATTCAAAAGCATTTATGTTGCCTTGTGGGTGATCAATTATTTCCCACCCTACAACCCCTCTCCCACAGATGAAACTTTGTAAGCCTTTCACTTCTGTACCACTTTTTCCATGGCAAATGTTCTGATGAGCTACATTCTTTAGTGCCCCCAGTTCTGCCCTTCACAGCTAAGACCTGCTATGTTACATACACTGGGATGAATTCTCCCAATTTCCTTCATATTCCATTAGTAAGAAGGAAGTTCCACTCTGACAGCATCTTCCCAAGAACTGAGACTTTGTGTAGAACAGACTCTCAAGAGGATGCTTTCCCAGATCACTACAATTTTAGCCTCTTCATGTCTAGGGTTATCTTTCATACATATCTTCATAAATTGCACTTCCTATCCCTGCCTCTTACACTAATACAGCAATTACATTCAGTAAACCTCTACCTTGAGTGGCTCTTGGGTTTTGTATTGGGTGACATTAGCATTTAAAAAAAAACAAAAAAACAAAAAATGTAACTGTAGATTACTTACCAACACCAGTTGTAATGCTTGACCGTCGTTCTGTACGGGTGACAACTGGGAGATTAGGAGTGAGACTTGGGGGATTGGACAGTTTGTTGTGAAGTATTTTGGGATGTCGCTTGCACTTGTCCAGTAACAAGTGATAGATGGCGCTGTGGTGGTCATAGGCTTGTTTCTTCACAGCCTGTTGACAAAGAACAGAATAAATATATGCAAATGTTGACAACATGGTTTCCAGTGAAGATACAAGTTTTACAAACAATTACAAAAAAAAGAAAAAAAAAGTGCTGTAAAATGAAGTTGAGCAGTTTCTGATGACAATAATCTATCATTTCAATTCAGTCAGGAAATCTCTATTTCTCTATATCTATGAAGCTAACTATGGAACTTGTGAATTTAAAATGAAGAACATTAACATACAGATTTGATTTGAGCCAATCCATAGTGTTTCAACATTGTTGTCGACCCATGCTCGTCAACCACTGGTTCATGGCTCAAATGTTGGGCTGATTCAGCCACTGAATCCACCTGACAAGAAATGGGATTAAGTTAAAGTTTAAAACTGGCACTTCAGAGCAAATTTTATTATGTGCATATTGTCATGGGGATTTTAAGGTGGCTTTGTGCCCTAATCATGAATAACAAAATACCAGACACATAGAAAGAAGAAATGTAACAGAAAGTGGTGAATCCAAGTATATTTAAAGCAAATTTGAAATGGATATTTTAATGCAGTCTATTAATTACTGTACAACATGGCACTAGGTGTCTGTGCTCTCAGTGTGATAGATGGTGTATTATTTTAATAATACTTACTCTTAAGATATAGATAATGTGTACAAGGGTAGACTATGTCTAAATTGTGTAAAAAGTTGGATAACACTTCACAATGTATTCATTTGTGCTGGAGTGGACTGGATAGAGTTTTACTTTTGTTCAGGAAGCAAGATCTAGATTTGTAGTAAACATGCTGAAGCCTTATTTTATGATTTAGTCATTTAACAAACAAAATATTATTAAAGGGATGCACCTAACTTTAAAAAAATTAGATGATTCAGAAAATCACGTTTTATCAGAGAATGAATAATCTGAAAGTTCATTATTTGTACTGCTCTTGTAGTTAAACATTTCATTGGTTTATTTTTACATATTAGATGCATGATAAAAAGAAAACAAAAATAATTTTGTAATAATGTCATGCATTAATATTTAACACTTTCGCTGCTGTAGAAATGTTTATATGTCTTTATGAAACTTGCCTGCTGTTGATCTATATATATATATGTATGTTTTATAAGATTCTGTGGAATGTTGGTTCTGATCAAGCACTTAGTGTAACAGGGCCTTGGTTCAACGTTTAATTGCTTGAAAAGGCAAAATAGTGATTTTAGGTGATTAGAAATAAATCGCAACATCCCCCAGGGATATCTTAAAAAAGGAGGAGGAAAATGATAAAAGAAACAGAGAATTAAAGTTACATCAAATATATAAAATGAAGTTGATGAGGGAATCTGAGAGAGTTGAACCCCAAATGAATTTGGTGAAAAGTCATTAACTTTGGAATTTCTCAGAGGTGATTTTTTTTCCCTAATAAGGAAAAATATTTGCTTGAATTTCTTAGCTGAAATCTGATCCGAGGAGGATCAATTGTTAATATTACAATGCTAAGCCATAAGGTACTTCTCATTAAAATTTGGATGTTTTTGCTGGGGACATGTGTTTTTTTTTTGATCAATGGATCACGAGATAATCTAGATGAAGGTGTAAATTTTTTATATACATTAATGTCAAAATGAGGCACCTAGTGGGGATCACTTATATAAACCGGTGAAGCATTTGGCTTTGAGTCACCAGCAAGATCTCAGGACTAGGTATTAAGAAAATATCCATTGCTCAGAGACAAGAGCTCACATGCATCCTGTAGATAGAATGGACACAAAGGAAGTGAGATTGTTGCAGACTCACTGTGAGGCAGTAGAACAAACTGCTACTACAATTATCACATGAGAACTGAAGAGAAAGGAAAAACAAAAACAAACCAAAGAGATTCCAGAATTTTCAAATCACCCTTTTTCTACCTAGGAATGTAGACAACACATGTTTGTGTAATATTCCCTGTCAATAAATTATTATTAGATGTTTTGAAATGGTCATCTGTCTTGAAAAGATCTTTCATCTAGCTTCAATGTTGAGGATGACCAGCTTTTAGGATCACATGAGAAACAAGTTACCACACTCTCAAGAGGAAGTTAATAACTTCTCCACAGGGAACACAATGAACCACTAGTTGATCACTGCTGAAAAATAGATTAATTTCAGTGAGTGTGAGCTGGACTGGAATAGCTGATAAAAACACAGACTTGGCTTGCCAGGCACACCGGACAAGAAAGCAAGTGTGTCCCCTGCACGGTTCACACCTCGCAGCCAGAGAATGTTTGGTCAGGGTCTGTTTATGTTCAGTGGATGGATGTGATTGATTCCATGAGCAGGCTCACAGAATTTACATGCACTATCAATCGTCCTCTTCTGTCTCCATGAATACTTTTCTTCTTACTGTTCTTTCTAAGTAACAATTTCTCAATTTCCTTCACTTTATTATCTTTCATCCTCAGTAATCCCTTGCTTTTAGTGGCTTTATTGCCTTGCTTGGGGTGAAATGATTAAAATAAAAAAAAAAAATTGTTATCATTTATTATTTGGAATGAGGCTGAAGATCAATTGTTGTTTTTATGCAATTTTACTTTTAATTTAGTTTAATATTCAACAACTATTGAATATTAAGAATCGATTCTCTGAACAGGCTTTGGGTCTGATTACATGCCATTTATATTAGTGCTATTTCCAAACCAGCATAGACAATACAACCTATTTGTGATTTATTTTTAGTGTGTGTTAGGGTTGGCATTTTATTTAGTCTGTACTGCAGAGTATCTGATCAAAACCAAAATGGCGGTCTTCATGAGAAATTATTTTTTAGTGTCTTTATAGATATTTCCAGTTTATTTGTTTACAGAATAGGCTAGCACAGCCAGGCAAAAATGCAGCAGTGAAAGTGTTATCATACTTGACAAAACAATTAAAAAATATAATCATGAAATAGATTTTTTTTATTTATGCTGATCATATTTTAAGAATAAGTAATAAAGTTAAAGGAAGGGCAATAACTCTTATTGATATATATATATTAGTTTTTTTTTTTCTTAATACGTTTCACAAATTTTATTTCCTTCATCAGCCAAAGATTTAAAATGATTTAATTTTTTAATTTAAATGCAAAAAGGACAATAATACAAAATTCTCAGAAAAAAAGTTTTGTGCAACAAATGGTTGCTACAATTCTACAAAATTATTTTTAGATCTTAAAGTCTATCTATATTTGATTTAACATGTTTATTTAAATAAGGCCAGCTTTTAGCAATGTAAAATCTTTCTTTAACATCCATTTTGAATGGCATGTCCACCTTGTTGATAGTGGAAAAATGAGTAAAATTTCATTTTTGTTTACAATGATCCTTACTTGGCAAATGTTTGAAAATTGAGGACTTTTTATCAACCTTTAAATATTCCATTACATGTTTATGAAAATGACAAGACATCTCACCAGTATAACTTTACAATTAGCGCATTTAAATTTATATATGATGGATACTATAGAATCAATCAGTATTTTATCTTTATTTGAAAGCAAAGAACCAAATTTCTAGCTTTTGAAAACAATTTGCAACAAGTAACCATCACTAAAAAATCTTTTGACCACATCATTAATTTTAAATAGAAGAGTTTTTGAGTAGTAATTATTTCCAACCGGTTCTAAGATGTTCCAAGCCACATTAAAACAGTTCATGAAGATACTTTAATATTTATGATGGAAGAAGAGAGTTCTTATTTTTTACATTTTGCCATTCACCTGCAATTAATCTGACAATATTTCATTGTGTTTGAAAATAACAAATTCTAATCTAAAGGAGAGCTTTTGAACTGTTGCTCCTTTTGCAGGCTGTGAGGAGTAAATGTGCTGGCTCCTTAACTTGACAAAGGCCATAAGCTTACCTCTATTGTCCTTTCTCTGTCCAACCGGAAACTAGCCATGTAGTTGAGCACTTGTTCATTAAGATGAGTGATCTCATGGTTCAGTTCTTCATTCCCATTGTACTCAGAAATGAGCATCTCAAACTCCTTATCTTCACCACTTATCTTCATCCACTTGTGTTGAATTAATTGATCCATGGACAATCGCTTCACAGGGTCCACAACAAGCATGTTACAGATTAAGTCCTCACATTCTATGGAAAAGGAAAGAGATGAAAAATTTGTTTAAAAAAAAAAAAAAAATTTTTAATAAAGTTAAAAAATTTATCAAATTATAAAAAATTACATTTAAATGTTTTTATGCATTATTCATTGCAATATAGCTATTAATTCTAAAATATCTAAATAAAAGTAATATTTCTGTTTAGTGAAATCTTAACAATCTTTAACCTTTGTGCACATAATAAAACAGTGTGTCAAATGGATGGTTTTTCCCTTGACATTGCTATTATTTTAACTACCTCCACTCCTTGGCAATTTTATCCTTTAAAAAAGTGATGATTAGAATTTTAATAAAATCTAAAAATATGAAAGTGACTTTATACATTTTCTTTGTTCTTAAGGATTGACAACAAAAATAATAAACACTATTTCTATTTATTAGGTTATTTATTTACACTATTCATTGTTTATTAGAATGGTTGGCAAAACATTGGTTAATTGCAAATAGATTTGAACTTTATAAAATGGTAAATAATAAGGACTTTCTTATAGATGGTTACCAAGTTTTAATAATTCAATAAAATGTTGATAAATTTATAAAAAATTAAATTGGTAAATGATAAATATTGCATTGCATTATTTTGAATACAGTTGTATTAGTTTTTAGAATGTTGTAATATAAAATTATTCTTATTAATAAACAATCTAATAAATAGAGTTTAATATTTTTGTTGTAAATTCAAAAGAATAAATAAAATGTCTTCACTTTCATCAGGTATTTAGGTTTTATTAAAATTCTAATCATCACTTTTTAAAAAAAACATTGCCAAGGGGTGAAGGTAGTTAATAGCAGTGTCAAGGGAAAAACCATCCTTTTGACACACTGTTTTATTTTTACTTTTCAAAGTAACCTATGTTCTACACAATAATCCTTTTCCACAATGTTCTAGAAAACTCTAATAGACATGTTCTTAAATAGACTTTCATATGGATCTCATGCATGGCACCAAACTTGTTCAGCTGTATACAACTACTTTTTTAGATCAATGATTAAAAATGGCTTTGATCAGATGAAATCTGTAGCACTTAGAGAGGACCATCCTTCTTCAAACAGATCACAGATGGTGCTATAGAATCACAAAGAACTATAACATAACAGAAACCACAACACTTGACTTTCAACAGCAGCAACAACTAAAATGGATAGCACATGTAAATTGAAGAGAAAATAACGACATAATCAAGATGTTGATGTTCCACACTATAATGAACAAAAGGCAACAAGGAAGGAAGCCACCATCAATACTGGAAAGAGCAAAAAAAGTAATTATGTATTTCACCATGATGAATTCTTAATCAACCAATCAAGGTTGAATGGTATGAAACTACATCTAGAATTATTTATTAACTTTTCTATTTGACAGTGTGTATTTTATAGTGCATTTAGAGCTTAACTATGGAGGATTATAATTTTAAAAAGCAACATATTTATCATTGTTTACAGTATGAATTCCAGAAGACTAATACTGTTACTACAGAAGCATTCATAAACATTTGTGCAGTGTACTGAAGTGAAGGCTCATACATATAAACTGTGGTTTATGATGTTTAAAAATGGCAATTATGACATATCCAACAAGCCTAACTCAGAAACATGAAGAACTTTTGAAAGAGACTACTGAATTCAATTCCATGTAATAGCACCAAATATTTGGTGCAAAAATCTTACGTGTTCATGAAAATCTCAAGTGAACTAAGAAACCTTGCAAAGAGTGAATTTGGGTTCTTTGTGAGCTTTTGCTTGAGAACCAAATACATTTCATCATTTGAAGCAGTCTTTTAACCAGGAATGCCAAACTTTCATTTTTGTATTACATTGTTACAGGTGATGAAAAATGGGTTTTGCAGGCCAACAGAAAATGAAAAAAACCATGATTATCACAAAATGAGAAATTAGTGCCAACACTAAAATCAGGACTGTGGAAAATGAAACATGATATCAATTACAAGCTAGTGAAACAGGGAAGGGCCATAACTGAAGATGTTAACTGTCAGCAACTTGATCAAGTATACAAAACATTACATTCAAGGTTCCCTGTTTTGGTAAATAGAAATGGTGTTATTCTCCTGCATGATAATCCAAGCTTCAAAACACGCTCAAGATAAGATTATCAATTGAGATTCTTCTACATCCTCCATACTCACCAGAATTTGGCACCTATAAATCTTCATTTGTTTTGATTACTAGAATGATTTCATAAGTGGCACAACATTCAGAAACAATGAAGAATTTGAAAACTCTCTTTCAAAGTTTTTTTCAGGGAAAAACACATTTCTTTAAATGTGGAATTGAACATTTGCTTTGAACTGTATTCATCAATGGGTAAACAAATTGGGTAAGAAGATGAATGAACACCAAAACTGGTTAATAAAACATGTTTTTGTTCTTGAAATAAATCATTATTTAGTTTATCTTGCCTTCTAACTTCTAGCAGCAATTTTCTATTAACTTTCTTTCTATTAAACAGAGCATGATATGCTTTGTGCCCCATAAATCTACAGACACTGGCTTTTATATGTACATTATTGTGTAATGGACATTGGTTCGGAATGAGAAATGGGAGAGCTGAGTTTGATTTCCAGTTGGGTTTGTTACATTCACTTATGTACAAATACACTTGTGAAATGTACAGGGGGCCCGACACTATTTTTGGGACATTTTGAAAAGTGTGCTTAAAGGTGTTTTTTGCTGCTGAAAGCTTTTGTGTTGATGAGTAGGTAGTTCAGCAAATGGTATGAACATTGATTGATGGGTTTGTCTTTGGTTTCAGGTTTTCTTTATTTTTACTTCAACTTAGGCGACACTATTTTTCGAACATGACACAAATTCCGGGTTTTTTGATGATTTAGTCATCGAACGTCTACAATATGCAAATTTTCTGCAGGTAAATTGTACCCTGACCGTTACATTTGAGTATCTTTACCATTCACTGCGAAAACGTATTAAAATCCTGAAGAAGAATGCATTCAAAAGAAGTCATCAGTTTGGTCCAAAAGAATGGGCTCAGGATCCGAAAGATCGCCGCTGAGATGAAGCTACTGAAGTCAATAATTGAATACATACTAAGTACAGACTATGAGCGGAAGAAGAAGAGAGGATGGAAAAAAACAATTTCCAAGAGTACAGAAAGAAGAATGAAGAGGAGTGTTACGAGGTTGTTATCATCTGGAGAAAAGGTGACAGCAAAGAAAGTAAAGGAGAAGTGTGAACTTGACGTCAGTGTTCGAACTGTACAAAGAAAGCTACACGAAATTGGACATAAGTATGCTAAAATCAAGAAAAGAATTACACTAACGAGAAAACACAAGGAGGCAAGGCTGGGAAGCGCCAAAAGATAGATAACAAACCATGTCGACTTCAAGAAAGTGATATTTACTGATGAAAAAAGCTTTAAGTTCGATGGACCTGATGGGTGGTGTACATAGTTGAGAAAAGGTGAACCTGTTATTCTCAACAAGAAACAGATGGGAGGAGAAGGAGTCATGGTTTGGGGTATGGTATTTCCGAATGGAAACTTGTGGCTCGAGTGGTTAAAAGGATGTCAAAATAGCTTGAGCTATAGAGAACTTTTGTAAAAGAGAGCCCTACCACTCATAGAAAAAGAAATGGGAAGTAATTTTATTTTGCAGCAAGATAACTGCAGCATCCATGTGGCCAAATCAGTGATAGATTGGATGTGTGAAGCAAATATAACTACTCTAGAATGACCTGCAAGAAATCCAGATTTAAATTTAATTGAAAACATATGGGAAATGCTTGCAGAGCTTGTTTACGACAGGCCAGAAATAACCAGAGAGGCTGAACTGTGGCAGCGCATACAAGATGCTAAAAATAGACTGCTAGAAACACGAAAAGATGTTATTATCAATATGTACGAACATTATGAAGATAGACTGATAGAAGTCATTGAAAAAAAGGGTGCTGCCATAAACTATTAGCATTGTTTCTGCAATGTCTGAAAAATACTGTCACCTGTGTAATGTGAAAATTTGTAAAAAAATAAAAATACTTCTAATTTGAATTCTGCTTTTCCATTTGTAGTATTGAAACAGTTTTTAAATGTTATTGCCATTACACTAAAACAGTACAGACTGCCTGTGCTACCTAAAACTTGAAAAAATAAAGTGTCTGAAAAATAGTGTCGGCCCCTGTATGTATCCATCTCTTCTCTCTCCAGCTATGGGTTGAATAGCAGGATAGATTGACTCCTTTTGCCTTAGTTGACAACCAGTCTATCACAGAAAGAAACAGCAACCTACTGCCAGAAAATTTTCTACCTAGTCAATCATGAATCAAAAGAATCATGATCACTCAACTGACTAATTTATAAACTATAAGTTTAACATACCATTTCTGGTTTTTACATCTTCAGCCAACCAATGAGCAAAATGTCTGATTTTTTTAATGCACAGTCGATCATCGTATTTTTTTTAAACAAGTTCAAAGCAACAAAAGACTATTCTTTTTCACACAATAATTTAATAAAAGTATAAACTTCTTTGTTATGCTTGTTTAATCCACAAAGTTGGAAAATAAGCCATGCAACAAACAGAAGTACACAAAAGCCATTTGGATTAAATATCTAACAATGACCACAATACTAAGAATGACTCATGTAAATAACTCAATCATGATCGTTTGTGAAATAAATACACTTTGCATGTGTGGATGTGTTTTTATGGTGTCATCTGTAAATGACTCATCGGTACAGAGTTGTGTCATGCATAGTTGGTTCACAATGACAAGTGCCACATCTGTAGAATAAACACTGAAGTCTATGATGTCAACTGACTCAATTTCACTTCTATATTTTTAAAATATTGTTATATATATATATATATATATATATAAAGCACAATTTTCTTTGTTGCAACTATTTTTAGTCAAGTGAGACAAAATGTTGGCTAATGAAATATCATTTAAGAAAATCTGAATAACTAGTTTTGATTATTATGTTGAAAATCCATCAACTCAGCAAATAAAATGTATGGAGAAAATATTACATCTGGAGTTCTAGGAAGATTTGAAACTTTTAAAACTATAGAAATGGAGCAGAAAATCAGCAACATTAAGCATATATAATAATCCATGTGATATTATGATTTACAAACTTAACATAGAAGTTCTTTTGGACTTCAGAAAATAATATTATACCAAACAAAATACAGCTGCAGATCTGTGATTCAGAATTTCCAATGGTTTGACACATTTTAAATCTACTGTTATTAGTTTGTAAATCTGCCACAAGAGGCTTTGATTCAGTTTATTAAATTGAATGTGTAGAAACAAAATTGAATAACTCAAATTTTGACTGTTTTCAATGTTTATTTTAGCATAAAATTAGATATATTTATTAACCTTTTTCTGAAATTTGTAAATTATTTTCAATACAACCAATTAAAAAGCTCCAACAAATTTATATTATATAAATCATATTAAAAATATGTAGTATTTGTTTTCTAATAGAAAAAAAAAAACATTCAAAATTAATAGACTGTTAAATAACTAGTTTACTCATACTGTCAAAAAATAATGGTATATTTAAGTAATATTGCAATTTCATTGGACTTGTATTAATAGTTCTGCTTGTTTATATTCAATACTTGCTGAATATTGAATTAAATGAAAAGAAATTAAGTAAAAATGCCAACTAATCTTCTGCCTTACTCCAGACAATAAATGGAAAGAATTTTTTGTTTTAATTATTACAACCCAAGCAAGACAATAAAGCCATGAAAACACAAGGGGTTATTAAGGATGAAAGATAAAAAAGTGAAGGAAACTGAGAAATTGTTACTGAGGAGAAAGGAAAATAAAAAGAAAAGGAGACAGAAAATGACGATTGATGTTGCATTTAAATTTTAAAGGTTTAAATTTGGAAAGAAAATAATGAAAGAAGTCTTACCAGTAGACATAAAAAATGGAATGTTAAATTTGCCAAGGAGCACCCTGGCTCTGAGGCTTTGTAATGTACTGCCATCAAAAGGGAGGGCTCCACAAACCAGCACATATAAAACTACACCCAGACTCTGGAAAAAATAAAAATAATTAAATAAATAAAATATTTGAAAAATATGTTATATTAAAACCAGTAAAATTTCCTGGGTCATAGAGTATATTTTAAAATAACAAATATTGCAAAAAATTAATTCTTATCTATGTTACCCAATATGTTATAAGACAATATTTGTGTATTTAGTTTTTTAACCTTAAATAAACACATATTACTTGATTTTTGTGAATAAAATTAAATGTATTAAAATTGCAAATATTGAATGCGCATACTTAACTCTGCTATGATTATTCCTTTTGATGCATTTGTGTATCATGGTAATGTTTTTTGTTAAAAGCACTTTTACAAGTTAAGGTAAAAAATACCATTGAGAAGGTTTTTCTTATTGAGTTAAGTAATAAAAACAGACAATACTTTATGGAAATTGATTGATTCATTTATTATGGTTTATCAACCCTTTGTAGGTTATTTAAAGCTAAATCTTTTTTTTTTTTTAGACTGTAAGATTTTTTTTTATTTTTATGAGATAAATATGGTTTAGTGATACACATCTCACTAATTGACCCATAGCTGGGAGAAGAAAAGGTGGATTCATACTTTTCCAAAGGGTATTTGCATGTAAGTGAATACAACAAACCCAACTGGAATTGGAACACGGCTCTCCGATTATCAATTGAACCATTATCTATTACACTACCTGCACACACATCCAAACTTACAGCACATGGTATTCCCAAGCAGTCAACTATCTAAGTACTGACCAGGCTTGATGTTGTTTAACTTTGGTGATCATATGGGAAGTCGTGTTTCAATGTGATGTGAATGTAAAACCATTTTATGGAAAATATACATTAATTTAATCTCAAATAATTAGTGTTGCATTGGTAAAAATAGTCTGCCTTGTCTAAATCATTATTCAAATCAAAAACCAATGAGTGCAACAAAATAAATGCGTCTTCTGCACAATGCTGCAAGAAAGAAACTGAGTTTAGCACATTGCTGTAGCAATTTACATAGGCTGAAATAAAACTATAAAATGTAGTGACCTGTATACAAGGTAATATGCAACCTGCTAAAAGATTTACATGAATGTCATGTGGCTGTAAACTAATAAGGTACCAATATTCAACTTGGTTACTTATATTAGTGCATCATTTTAAAATTATTTTGTGATGCAAGCAATAGTCAGTGCATTATTTTAAAACGTTAGTCATAAATAATCAACAGTGCTTTTTTTTGCCATTTGTCACTTTGCTAATAGTGTTTTTAAATTTATATAAGTACTGAAGTAATCATTCTAAGTAACATGGTTAATCAAAATAAGTGCTGCATGATTTGTTATGATGATAAAATACAATCGAGTGTGCAGTCAGATTTATATTTTTAATTTATCTATAAGTTTTTGTTAGTTTCTTACTTGCATAAGACTAAAAAGATACAAAATGTTATTCTTAAAACTAAAATCTGTTAGAACATTATATATAACTGATGGGAAAATTTCAAATCTTAAATCAGTCCTGACAGCAGAGGATTAGCTCCAAAGTTTAAGCAACTTGCAAACATTATTAATTTTTATACCATTGAAACAATGGCCTTAAATTTAATTTCCTGTACTTTAATTTGACAAACTTCTTAATCTTGATTGTAAAATAGTAGTTATTATTTTTGTATTGTTTCTGATTTTAAGAACAATCAGGGAACAGCATGAACTATGACATTCAACAATTGAAATTGCAAAAAAATGTATAATAAAGCAAAGTTTGACTGAAGTTTCCTTTCCTTTTTTCTCTAAAGATATCAGGCATATTATGGCAGCAAATGCAATATGCTTATTTATTGATTGTGTTGCTCAAGTGCAACATGCTTGGCTTTTAACCATGGGGACCAATTGCAATTTTGCACATTATGTAACAGCCAGTGATCATTTGTTTTGTATTAATAGAAAAACACAGCACAATTCACTTTAATTATGGTTGAGAACATTTGCTTTACTTTTATGTAGAAATAAAAGTACAAACAATGGACAAAGTTTCCTTATTCAATTCATCTGAGTTAAAATGAGGATAATATTTCTTGTTTCAAATTATCTATTTTAGTTTCAGTGCTCTTCCATCAAAGTGCTAGGTTCCTGAAAAGCAAGAAGAAAAAAACCTATGCATAAATACTTCTTTTGGAATAGCTGTTAGTCAGTTTTATATATATGATCCATAATCAAAACCACATCAGCATGACATATACTTAGTTAATCATGTTATTCATTTACTCATATCCATTCATGAATACGTGTGATATTAATATTAATCATGCTAGGCATGGCCCTATTTGGTTACACATGTTTCAATATATACTATAAAAAAATCTTCAGATAATGATATAATATGATTTCTAAGGTGCATGAATATAAACTTTAAACAGTCCAATTGTTGTGTCAAACTAATAAAATACACTTGTACAAACCTTTGAATGTAAAAAAAAAAAAAAAGTATATATATATAAAAAACTTGAGTGAATGTTTTGTCATGGTTGTCCACAAGAAATTGCTGTTTTTATTGCCAGGGTTATGAGTATTGGTGCAGATAATTCCAAAGACCTTTTTTTAATAAGTTTTGTTCATTAAATTTCAGATGTGTATATATTTACTGGTAATATTTCAATTCTATGTATATAAAAATACTTCTTTTTAATAAGAATCAGGAAAAAATAACAAGAGCAAAATAACCAAACTCATTGAAAGGCACATATTTCTTAAGAGATTATAACAATATTTACACTATTTACATGTTGACTATTGTCCTCATCTTTGTTGTTGCTATCACAACATTTTGTCCACTGTGTTCTGAGTAATCTATATAGAATTTCAAACTGAACCCTTTATTTAATCTATGGGGTAGATTGTTCTCATTCCACTGCCCATGTCTAAGGATATCTTGTTTAGTTCTTATTTTTAGTACTGCTCAGTTATTGCTCACCCTGTTTCTGTTGAGTCTAAGGACACAATACCAGGCCAAAAATTGAACTTACAATTACTATATCACTCATGAGAGTGAGCAATAACTGAGCAGTACTAAAACTAAAAGCTAGATGAGAAAAACCTAGACATGGGTAGTGGAACAAGAACAGTTTACCCACTAGATTAAATAAAGGTTCAGTTTGGAATTCCTTCTAGGTTACCCTGATGAAGGTCTGAGAGCACAATGTCTGAAATGTTGTGATAACAACAAAGATGAGGACAACAGTCGGCATGTAAATAGTGTAAATAATGATAACTCCTCATCCCAGAAATTCAGATTACAGTAAAATTAAAATAACCACTGATTGAACAAATAAGCTGACTGGATTATTAGCAAACATCTTTAAATTTGATTTAAGTGCATAGTGTATTTAATTATTTAATCCTTGATTTCTTATTTCACCAATGTTTTCTAAGTAATTTAAAATAAAGAGAATAAGAGGATAAGGTTTCAGTCACTACCTACCCAAACATCAACCTTAGGCGCATCATATTCTCGGCCTTCAAATAATTCTGGAGCAGCATATGGAGGGCTACCACACCAAGTCTTCAGGCAAGCTCCAGGTTTGAAATAATTACTGAAGCCAAAATCTAAAAATGGGAAAACAAATTTCAATTTATACTTTATCAGTATAATCATTTATGTTTTAAACCAAGTGTCATATTGCAAATATTTCCTATAAAAGTTTTTTGAGAGCTTCTATAGTCATCCTAATATAGTACAAAATACAATTCATATAATAGGAATTCTGTTAAGACAAAAATTTTCTAAAAAATTTTCAAAAATCTATTACATATATATATATATATATATATATATATATATATATATATATATATATATATATATATAAATACTAGTGTACCAGTACTATAAAAAAAATTATTAGAAAAGTTTTAATAGTGAGATGCAATGAAACAAAATTCTTGAAACAATGTATCAAGATTCAATAAAGCAGAGATTAAGGATATCCAGCTACAATATAGGTCAATGAACCATTTAATTAATATGTTCACTTTATATTTTTTTTTTGACATTCAATGGTTTCTATGATTTATTGATTACTTCTGGTATTATATAAATCACTTTTTGCTCAATATCTTTTCAGGTTAAAAATTTTGTTTTAATATAACACTGAAATGGAAATATCTATCAGGCCTATTTCAAGATCAAGTTGAAGCAAGATGATCACTTAATAGACAAAGGTATCTGAGTGCCTCACATAAGACGGCAATCTAAGAAATATAGGAGTAAAGGAACTGATTAATTAAATGGTTATTTTGCTTGGGTACTGATTTTGTTTCAGATAAATATTTTATTTGTATAGATTATTACAATGATTAAGGGAAGTAATCACCCATAAATTTACTAACTTAAGTTGATTTACCTCCCTTCCTACTATAGATGGGACAGGAAATATATATAGATTAATAATTATTTCATGGTTTGATAATAATAATGGCTGGTTACTTGTTTCCAATCACACTCACCTGCTAGAGCAACTAGTCAATCCCTGTTGCAGATGCCTGCTCAGGCATATATGTGTTCAACACCCACAGAATCTACCTGTGGTTTATACTGCAACTATGCTGAGTGGACACTGGTTACAGTTTCTGGGAAAGAACACATTATCTGGCATGATAAACAATTTGAACAAGGCCAGTACAGAAGGTCCTCGGGTTAAGCGAACCCGACGTACAGTGTTTCGTGGTTATGGTGCCATCTCCCATAATATAATATGTCATCATGTAGTGCTATATGGGGAAGACAGTATTGTTTCTTCACCAGCTGTATGCCATATTAGATTGTGATACATTAACTATCTCTTGTTTGTGTTGTCTTTTTTATTTTTTATTTTTTTAAACTTTTTGTCGATGACCCCCTGTATAGACAAATCCTTGAACATGACTTGTGATTTCATGCTAGTACAACTATTAACAACCTCTGATTTCATTCACAAGTCTTAGGTTAAAACATTGTGTCATTTTGAGGCACTTTCCAAACATGTTGCATGCTGGGATCTTTTCTCCAGACCGATAGATCATGGAAACATTTGAACCCGGAGTCTCACGTTTGGAAAGCAAATTTTATAACCATTCAGTCACACACCTATACAATACGTGTGTGTGTATACACACACACACACACAGAGTAGTCTTTTTGAAAACCAGTAGCTAAGTACACTGTTGAAAACTGATTTTTTTTATGCTGGAAACTTTTGCACATATCTAAGATGTAAATTTTTTGATAACTCTGTATGCTAATGATAAAGAAAAGAATTTATTTTATACATATTTATTTTTCAACATAATCTTATGATTTTCCATTAATCATGTAGATAGAATATTATACACTGAAAATTTCAGATTAAAATTCAGCTAATAACTGTCAGGCTATGAACTTATTGAATGACTCATATGTAAATTTACGTGTGAGTGTGTGTGTGTGTGTGTACCAGTGATTATTCCAGGGGTTGGGCTCAGTTGGGCTGAGGCTGAGTAGTCCAACTCCTAACTGCATCTGTTTCAAAGCAATCTAAGAATGTCATTGACCCTCGACTTTACTTAGATCGAACCATAAAAATAAAATATCAAATTATTTTAATTTACTACTTTTTATAGTTTTCACTTCATACTCTAAAATGTTGGCTGAAATAAATTTTGCTGAAAATGTTCAGAAGAATGGTACATAAAGAAATAATAATTAACATAGCACATAATCCAGGAAAGTGATTACAGTGTTCCCAAATTTCATTGAAATAAGGCCAAAAAGAAGTACTTCTTATAGCATGATTCAGGTGAATATATTTCTAGCAGGACTATCAAAAATAATCTTTAGATGTTTCAAACTATTTTAATTTTGTTTTTCAAAGAATAACTTTTGTTTTAACATTATACCTTTAAATCTTGACTTTGAATTTACATTTCTGCATTCATTATAATGGTAAATAATTAAAAAGAAAGTTCTAATTGAGGGTTTGTGGTTATATGCTTGGTGTGCATGTTGCAATTTAGCCAGACAAGGATTATACATTTTTGTTTTAATGTCATAGCTTTAAATTTTGACTTTGTAATGAACAAAAGATGAATTCAATGTTAAATGAAGTAAAATAAACATATAAAAGTTGGGGTGAAAAAAATCTGACTGAGGAGAAAAAAAAATTCTAATGTCATGTGTGTGTGAGTTGTTGCAATTTGGTTTGACAAGAAATAGAGAATGAATGATTGCAACAAATGTTTGACGTAACTGCTCAATACATCACTTATGCAAAATGATAAACAGGAAAAGTGAAAGTTATATATAGTTAGTTTTGTTATAAATTGTAATGAACCAGAACAGGCCAACACCAGAGTGTTTTGAGTGGAAGAACAGCCTTTGAGTATATTGTAGAGTAGTTTCACAGTGGAGGCTTGTATTTCACTAAGTCGGTCCTAAAAAAGGTTCGATGTACAAAACGTTAGGAACTTGAAAAAATAGTTAATGACGCAGAATCTAGTTGTGGTGGTTGATACTTTAATGTCCGACATCGACTGACTCACCAACTCAATGAGCCCACTGGCAACTGCTACTACTACTACTTATTATATGTGGGAGAGTCTATTAACAATAGAATAGGTGTGTTTCAGTATAACAGAGTAGTGGCTGGGGTGGTGTGCTAGGTAGCAAGTAACAATTAGCACACTAAAATCTGTTTATATCATTTTCACAAGGAAGGATTGACTGATGACCTAGAGTTGCTACCAGTGCATAGCCATCTACATTCACAGGTAATTTTAAAAAATGATATTAAGTGTAGTACAGAAATGGAATTGGCAAGATGTGTTCAAGTTCTGACCAAGTGTATTGCAATTATCTTTACATTAATGCCCTTGGAAAAGAGCATCAATACATCTTCCTCCTGCTTTGAATGACAAGATAGACTAGTTTTTCTAACCTTAGATTGCAGCCAACTGGAAACCACTACTATCCTTCTCAAGAAGTAATGGCAATTCACAGATAAAGGAAATCACTCTACAGTCATGATCACTTACATTCTGAAGGGATGTGGCATAAAAAAATTAAGTTTATAAATAAATATACATCTGTCTATATTTCTGAGATGAGGTATTGTAACTATTTACACTATTTACATTGTTTGGACTATTGTCCTGATCTTTGTCATATTCATATTGTATGCTTTGGCATTCTTCAGGTGATATATGTTGAAATTTTGAATCTTGATTTAGTCCAGTGGGGTAGATTGTTTTAGTTCCACATGCCTTAGGGACCAAAGGACACATGGCCTAGGGGATAAAAGCATTGGTTGAAGTAATCCAGTGACTTGACCCAAAGAGTTGTGAGTTCAATACCTGACCACAGCAGAGGTGAACAAAAATTTGGAGAGGTGAGTTACTAAAAGGGAACAACTGAAACGGAGATACCTGAAAAGGCGTGGCACATGGAACTAGAACAATCTACCCCAGTAGACTAAATAAAGGGTTTGGTTTGAAATTCCAATGTATATCACCTGAAGAAGGCAAGAGCGTACAGTGGTTGAAACGTTGTGAATATGACAATAAACATGAGGAAAATAGTCTGAACAATGTAAATAAATAATAAACAGTTTGTCCAAACTCATCAGAATGTAGAGCAATCATATTAAATGTTTCATTGCCAAAATGGAGTAAAGCAAAGAAACAATTACTGTTAATTTATATGGGAATACATTTTGAGCATAAAAATGACAACACCTTGCATTAGAGTGCTGAAATGATTACAGAAAAACATGACAGGGAACATGAACTTATAATTAAGTTCAAGTTTATAATGATGTTTATGACTAACTGCAAAGAACTCTATGATAGAAAAATGCATGAGGATATGCAGTCAAGCATATTGCCATATTTCAAGCCAGCCACAGGAGACAATGAATTTTGATTGTTAACATGAAGGTTAGTAGACAGATTATTTTTTGGGGTCTGCAAATGCTCAGATTTTTTCCCATATAAATTAATGGTAATTGCTTCTAAGCATTATACCATCTGCACAGTGTAGAAAAACCTGTACTAATGTAAATTTTCATTCAAGTGAGTAAAGTGAGCTATTTTAAAAGCAGGAGATCACCTGTACATAAGACTAATCTGTAAGATACTAACAGAAAAACTAGGTACCTTTTTATTTTGTTTAGTGTGGACTACCTTTATTTTATTTTTAATTATTATTATGAAAATGCTGATGTTGTACCCTCTGACCTTCTTATGGTACTTCTTTTTTTTATTATTTTTACAAGTGAAAAAGACCAGATAGTAAAACAGCTGAGATGAGAAAATTAGACAATGATTAAAATGCAAATATACATGCAAAAAAAATTTGTCAAAAGTACATTTGTTCACTAAATGGGACTTTAAGTGAAGTCGCTTAGTTTTTATTATTAAAAAAAATTAAGAATATACCAATTAGCAAAACTATACACAATTCATATATACCCAAAATGTCATTAAAAAAAATTAACCTTGTAACTTGCTTACAGTTAAAAGAATCTCAAAGTTTAGTAAATAATTATGAACATCATTCAAAACAAATGAAAATTATCCACTCTGTCTTTTATAAT